GAAATATGAATTTACATACATTGTGCCTTGAGGTATTAGCTAATGTAGTAAAAACCATCACAACTAGCAAAACATTTTAGGACAAAGATAAACCTTTACAATTATTCCAGTGGTTTAAAATCATATGATAGTTAATTTTACAATCCAAATCCCTTTTGAGGTTTCTTCCTTGACAGTGAAAGACAAAAAGCAATACACTTGACCTTCCAGACATGGAAAAAAAAATGTGGCCAGAAACCAAAATCCATTCCTTTGTCAGGAAATATTGATGGAAGACAGACAGAAAACATTGCTAGAGAAGTTAAGAAACAAATATTAGAACCAACTATGCAATTTTGGGATATCTAATACGCTTCAGCATCCATGGCTTACAGGATTCCAAATTAATGATAATGAAATACATATCGAACTACTGTTTTGTGGGTCATGAAAGGAAAGATCTCTTCAACAGTAAATGACCTCTTTAATACAATGTTATGTGGAAAAACAACAGGAACATAATCAATGATGGAGCTTCAACTGATAAAAATGGGAGTAAAAAAATTAGAACCACACATGAAATTCACTCACTGCAACACTCATAGGCAAGCCACTGTGGCAAAGAAGCTAAAGACAAATATTCAATGTGCTACAGGATGCCATCATTTCGGCACACATCAACTACCAGATAAGCAAATATGCAATAATTATTAAAGGGAAGTAGTGCTATGGGAAAAAAAGGATAGAGGAATCAGGACTGGGGGTGGGAGTACAACTTTAATAATGTGGCTGGAGAGACTTCACTGAGTTGACATCCGAGCACAGTCTGAAGGAGGTAAGAGAGCCATGGAGACTGGGGGGCGGGAAAGACAGAGGACGTGTTCAAGGCAGAGTGTAAGAGTGCAAAAGCCTTAAGACAAAAATGTGCCTGGCAGGTTGGAGGAACAGCTAGGAGGCAAGTGTTGTGGAAGCAGTGTGAGTGGGGAACTGTAAATGATACAGTCAGAGAGGCAAAAGAGGCAGGGTAAGGAATAGATACTGTAGGGCCAAGTAGGACATTATAAGGATTTTGGCTTTTGCTTTGGATGAAATAAGGAGCCACTATAGGGCTTTGAGCAGAGGAGTGATAGGACTATATGTCTGTCAAAAATATAAAAATATAACCCCTGATTAAAAAAAATTTTTTTTTAACTTTTTATTTATTATTGAGAGACAGAGCATGAGCATGGGAGGGGCAGAGAGAGGTGGAGACACAGAATCCGAAGCAGGCTCCAGGCTCTGAGCTGTCAGCACAGAGCCCAACACGGGGCTCAAACTCACTAAATGTGAGATCATGACCTGGGCCGAAGTCGGTCACCCAACCAACTAAGCCACACAGGCGCCCCAACCCCTGGTTAATTTTTAAGAAAAATGATTGAAAAAGGTAGATGACAATTTACTTGTAAACTTCGACCAAAAATCCTTGCATTAGTGAATGGGATTGGAAAAGGGATACCGAGAGTCATGAAGTGCGGTGTGTGATACTCTATTTCCGTTTGGATGCATCTTAATAAGGTAAAACCAAGATTGGGTGGGAAAATACTGTATCTACACCCCACCTTCAAATCATCGATCAAGTATCAGCACAAGATTTTTGGAAAAAAAAAAAAAATCAGTAGAATATTCAATCATATTGTTCTCACTTTAAAACCTCATAATGATGTTTTGGTGAAAATAAAAATGTGCACTATTTACCATATCCATTTAACATGTATTATAAAAACAAATAAAATGCTCAAAACATGTACTGTTACAGCCCCTTATCCAAAAGATTTGGAATCTATCCTCTTAGGATACAAAGAAAACAGATACAACAAGGCTGTGTGATATAGGCCTCTTCTATGTACCCAGTATTTCAGCCTGCCTGTAATTCCATGACTAGTCCTGTGTTAATTTATGCCTCTGCATGAGTCCCTCTCTCCAAAATCACCTTTGCCTGGACTCTACTCCGTATCATTCAAAGGACTTGTGATACGTCCTCTGTGAATCTTTCCCCTCCCCTAGGTAAAATCAACTATGCTCTCCTTTGCACCCTACCCTGTGCCCTATTCATATTTCTAATTCTAGCACCTATCAGAACAGAGGCAGTGTTATATCTCACTCGTTCACTAGTCTGTCAGCCCATGAGCCAAGGGGTCTGAACTTATTCATCTTTATCCCTGAAACTTTAGCACACACTATGCAACTCAAAAAGTGCTGAACAATCTACCCCAGTGGTATGTGCTATGGAATATACTGTCGTTACTAATTCCTTTTTATTTACCAAATCCCATGCCACTGACACATACCATATGTTACCAACATATTTACAAAAAAATTTTTTAATAGTTTTTATTTATTTTTGAAGGAGAAAGAGACAGAGCATGAGCGGGGGAGGAGCAGAGAGAGGGAGACATAGAATTTGAAGCAGGCTCCAGGCTCTAAGCTGTCAGCATGGAGCCTGGTGTGGAGCTCGAACTCCCCAACTGTGAGATCATGACCTGAGCTGAAATTGGATGCTTAACTGACTGAGCCACCCAGGCGCCCCGTTTTACCAAAATATTTAAATCTTGGATTATTTAAATCACAATCCTTCACATTTTTTTTTTAATTTTTTTTTCAACGTTTTATTTTATTTTTGGGACAGAGAGAGACAGAGCATGAACGGGGGAGGGACAGAGAGAGAGGGAGACACAGAATCTGAAACAGGCTCCAGGCTCTGAGCCATCAGCCCAGAGCCCGACACGGGGCTCGAACTCACGGACCGCGAGATCGTGACCTGGCTGAAGTCGGACGCTTAACCGACTGCGCCACCCAGGCGCCCCAACAATCCTTCACATTTTTAAAGGCAGTTTATAAATAACTTTGCGGGATTCTAAATGCAGCCTGTATTTTCTACATCTATTAAAAGTTTAAAAGACAAAAATAAACAAACATGTATGGAGCCATCGCACAGAAAATCTGATAACTATACAGACCCTGTCGGCAGGAACCATGTTTTGATGTGTGTGACTGCCTATGGTTGCATTGGACAACTAACAAATGCAATCGATACCAGGAACAGTCACATAGGTCTTACTAAAATCCTATAGACATCCTCCTTAACTTACAATGGGGTTACATCCTGATGGGCCCACTGTAAGTTGACAATATTTAAAGTCAAAACGGATTTAATATACCTACCCTACCTTAAACATGCTCAGAACATGCACATCAGCTTACAGTTAGGCAAAATCATGTAACACAAAGTCTATTTTATAATAAAGTGCTGAATATATCATGTAATTTATTGAATACTGTACTAAAGTAGAAAACAGAATGCCTGTCAGTGTTATCTCGGTTGTTTACCCTCATGATCACGTGACTGACCAGGCAGTGTGGCCACCGTTGCTCAGCATCACGAGAGAGTGTCCTAGCACACACCACCCAGGAAAAAAATCAAAATCTGAAATTCTAAGTATGGCTTCTACTGAATGCCTATCACTTCTGTACCATCATACAGCTGAAAAATCATTTCAATCAAACCATTGTTAAGGACCATCTATGTACAGGATCTGTACTCTTAAAAGTAAACTATCTCACCATCAAATTATTCTAATTCCCCAAAGCCCCTTCTTAGTTGTGTATATGTATATGAACACTCTATTTTGTCATTTATTCTCATTAACAAGCACCACAAAGGATCGACGGGTCACCACCTGACTTCTCAAAAGCTCAAGGTCTGTGACGAAATATATTTTTACAACATCTCTTAATGGCACTGCAGTCATGTCTTTAAGAAACAAGTATTAAACAACACATACCAAGGCATCTTAATTCATTCCTATTTACTGTAATTATATACACAATATAGACGAAGAACTCTGCTTAATTTACCCATACCCCAACTAAATCTATTTCTAAAGCAATATTATTATATTAATAAACCTATATTCTTACCATTATTATTAATAAAATCTTCATGTAAAATAGGAAGGTCAAGTCGAATTCGTTTTAAACAAGTCTGAAAATAAAAGATATTTTTATACTTTCACCAGTAACATTTGGGGGAAAATGATAATTTATTCAATTCGTAGTTTCAAAAAGGGTGTTCTTCAAATAAGTACTATTAATTTCCTTTCTCTCTACCAAGAGAGATTTGCAAATGAAAATGCAAACAGCTACTTAGCCTCAACTGAATCCATACTTGGCAGGATTTAGCATTGTGAATGATATTCATAATCATCTCAACACCTACCTGAACTTCCTTTTTACTTCCCAGGTATTCAACTCTGTCAATAAAATCCTCAAACTGCAGTTTAGGGAATAGCCTATGTGCCCAATGCTCCATGTGTCTGATTAGCGTTTTCAAGTCTTCAGCCTGGCACATAAAAATAAAAATGATAAATAGAAGATCCATTCTCACAACTGACCTTGTCAGCAGATTTTAGAATTGAATAGTAATGCCAAAGTCACTGGTGTCATTTTATATTTATATGGTTAAGAAACTTTTGAAGAAACTTTAAGAGAAATATTTATTGAGCTTAGAGAACTGCAGTCTGAAAGAGCACTAGATACACGTTTTAAAAAAAAAACAGTACGAAAACTTAAAAGTTAAAAGATAATCATGTGTCTTTTCAGAACTGTAAAGTAACATATGAAAATAAGCTTTAATAAAATATGTCAAGGTATCTTTTAGGAATAACTAAACAAAATGACAGGTCCCTAAATCATATATAGAAAACAAAGTACTGAGAATTCAGCACTGTGAAAATATATTCAGAAATCCCAAGGGCAAAGTACAAAGACTAGCAACAACAGTTTAAATGTTCTCAGAGCACACTACCTATATATGAAATTTCAATTTAACATTAAAAATTTTAAATGAAAATGAAAAACAAAGTTTAATAAGCTGAACTAATGAATGACAAAATTCTAAATTCCTGGTTTTACTATAAAATATTTACTTCTTCTCTTAACGTATTTTTTTTTTTTAACATTTATTTATTTTTGAGAGAGAGACAGAC